ATATATATATATATATATATATATATATATATATATATATATATATATATATATATATATATATATATATATATATATATATATATATATATATTTTTTTTTTTTTTTTAAAAACTCCTCAAAGGATTAAAAATTGATGGTATTGTACAACAGTCTATTTTATCTTGTTTGTCATAACCAGTCATGATCTGGTTTATTAAATATTGGCAATGTGCTGCCAAATGGTTGCAATAATTTAACTGGATTATATTTAAATTACATTTTCTCACCATTTTTGTTGTGCCTTATATTTTTCATGTTGTACAAAGACCAAAAAGGAAATGTGAAAGTTTCCACTTATTGTATTATTCCAATGCTAATATTGTAATAAGTTGCTAAATCTCTAGAAATATCCTCTTGAGATTGCACCAATCTTCAATAAGCCAGTATTAGCATAGGAAGTAAAAAGATATTTTTCTTTTGCTTAATTTTTCTTCTTCTCTTCTAAAGTTGTGTGTGATTATGCTTGGTGACCGAAACGGAGGGTAAATCTTGAAAATTAACATTATTCTCTCCACCCAACCCTCCTTGTGTCTTCCTTTCTCTCTTATTTTCAACACCTTTCTGTCGTTTCTTTTCTTTCTTTTTTTTGCCGTCCTGTGGCTTGTTCTCTCCGTGTTGGACAGAACTGGCCTCTTCACCCCGGACATGGCCTTTGAGACCATTGTGAAAAGGCAGATTGGGAAGATTAAAGAGCCTTGCACCAAATGTGTGGACATGGTCATTTCTGAACTAGTCAATACAGTTAGGCAGTGTACCAAGAAGGTAAAAAACCCCAAAACAAACAGTGGTTAGCACATGTTTCAGTCTTGCTTTCAACCCTCATCCCTCAGTCGTTCACTCCCTGTGGCTGTAACCGCCTAGCTACCTCCAGCCCTTGTCGTTTGTTGGACAGCGAGGGGGGCGTCTGGAGTGGCAGGGTGGGCTGCTGTGTACCTGCCTGCCTGTTGTACTGCTTCAGACGGGTTTGGCTGGACAGGCTGCATATGGTTGATAGTTGTGCGGTGAAAAGAAATCCAGTGTGGAAGCTGAAAGTCATCAGGATATGATTGCTGACAAGGAAAAGCTACGTAATCTCAAGACGAATTTCTATCAGGTTTTCTGTTTTGTTCATTTTCAGTTGTACTAATTGGCCTTGCTTACATCTTAGCACATTTTGAAGGATGTAAGTTGTACCGCCGCAACCATCTCGGATGAGGTCAGCTTCCAAACTTTCACGTGTGTGGGACTGCAGCCGTGCACCTGCAGCCATGAAAAGTTATGGCCTAGCGGCTCTTCGGCGTGCCTCGGGGACGCATGTTTCAGAGCTGGGCCAAGAGCAATGAGCAAAAAGTCTTTATCCAAATGGATCCACCGTGACCAAATGATTTCAACAGGCCTGCAACCACTTGGAGAACTTTGGAAATATATGTTGGGAATTGGCTCCAGCTGAAAGTCGAAGGACACGGAGGATGGGAGGAGAAAGGGTCAGCGCTTTGGGTGGGAGGGTTGCTGGGCGGGGGGGAATGTCTTGGCTGAACGTCCAGGTGCACATCTGCAGTCTTGCTGTGTGTTGCTTTGAGTTTTGGCTGGCGGAGTTGTTCAAGCTGGGGGATCTCTCTATTTCTAACTATTTCTCTGGTCTTTCTCTTTCTGTTTCCTCTTTTCTCGTAGAGAGAGACTCCAGCACTGTCCTGTTTTAGAATGGCTTCAGGGAAAACCAAATATCTCACTCGCAGTTTCTTCCTTCTGTGCTGTTTGTCCTTCCAACCCCCCCTACCCCAACCTCTTTCTTGTCTTTTCCCACCTCCAATCTCTTGTGTCCTACGTTCTCCCCTTTCATTTTTATTTTTCTATCATTCAACCTTTAATTTCCTCACTTCTTAATTATCTCCTGTCCCAACCCTTTATTTGGTGCCTTCACTCGCTCTTTTCTCTTGGTCTCTTTTGGTTTTCGTCCCGTTCTCTCCCTCTCTCGTGCCGCCTGCTTATCCCAACAGGACGGGGTTATTCACCCCTGACCTGGCCTTTGAGGCCATAGTGAAAAAGCAGATCCAAAAGCTGAAGGAGCCTACACTGAAGTGTATAGATATGGTAGTGAGCGAACTCACCTCCACCATTCAGAAGTGTAGTCACAAGGTAAAATGGCAAAGTCAATAGAAGCCACTTTGAGTATCTCTGTTAAGCTAACAGGTATGGGTAGACTGATGGCTGGAGATGTTTTTAGCTACTTTGATTTAAAGTACATCATTAGAGGCTTTATATTTAGTAAAGTGTAAAGTATAAATTGCCAAATCAAGCATTTCCACAAAGTAATTTTAAAGTAAAAAATTTGAATTTTGTCAATGCTGAGTTGTAAGTTGTAAAAATCCATGGATGTTGAATATTTTTGGGAACACAGCCATAAGGGTGCTGATTTATAATTTGCGTGTTCATAATTCGTTGAGAAACTGTAATTTTAACTTGGATCAAATGTTTCTTATTTACGAAAGTAATAATAATAATGTATCACATTTGGCGATAAATGATGTAATAGCAAAGTGTTTTAAAAACACGAAAGACCATTAATATCACACATATACTGACACTAATGTGAGTCCATAAGAAGATGAAAATCAATAAGTTTTTTTTTTTTACTTAATCATTACCTAATCATATAATCTTTAGGATGGGGAGTTTATAACTCAATGAAAAACACAGGAGCATTAAGAGTTCACTATGTGTAAGACTTATGTGTTTAAATTAGATCATTTACATAAATTAGCTTGGAAAAAGTAATGAAAAGAAGAAATAATAAAGATTTTATAGACATTTAAGGGGAAGCAGATTTAAGATTTGCCCAGCAAATATCAGTCTATCCTTACACCGTTTAATTGGGATTTTAAGTATATTTTTGTTGTCATTTGTCTCCAACTCTTCAAGTTATTGACCCTATTTTTTTCCAGCTTATTAAATGCATGTATTAGATAATTATATTTATTATTTAATCTCTTAATGTCTAGAAACCCTTTAATTTATTTTGGCTAAAATCATTTAACCTTGTTTCCAAAAAAGCTAAAACACTAACCTAAATGTAATTAAATATAAAAGTTCAGATCAGGTAGTTATGTTAGCCTAAAGTTTGAAATAAAAATATAGACATTCATCGCATTAAGGAATTAGGCTGCTTCAACACAATGTTTAGATATTTTATGACAAAGTGAATCTGGTAAGTTTTATAGATGAAAATATGGCAGAAAAAGTATTCTCCCTCAAAAGTCAAGTAGATCGTTTGGAGGCGATGCTGAAGCAGAGCAGAGACGGAGGAAGACAGAGCTCAGATTTAATTTGAGAGGAACTTCCTCAGTGCAAACGGAGAATCTGCATAGTGCGAGATAACATTAATAATTGTTACTATTGGATTATTGCTGCAGCATTTAAGCAGCACTTGCATACATTCTAAAGCAGTAGAGGTGAGTATTTGTGGCTTACATGGCATCTCTAAGTTGTAATGTTTGTACTGCAGAATTTTAAGTCCAAAAATCAGCGGCAGATCAGATTGTTTACATAAATGCGTCAAATGCATTTAAAGATGATGCTGTGACATTATTAAGTTAAATTCGTGTATCTGCACTCACTATTGAAACAGTTGGATAGAGACTGGCTGCAGATGATCCTTTTTATTCTCCAGTTATTTTTTTTAATGACTTTAACTCAGCTTTGCAGATCTCCTGTATTTTGGAGATGACAAAGTTTTGCTTTTTTTTTTTTTCTTGTTACCCTGGCAGAGCTTTGGAATAAATATATATGTAAATAATATATGTATATTTTGCGTGACAACTTTTTTGGAAACAGGTTTGTGTTTTTCTGTCTTCGTAAGTTTGGTTAAATACACTGAACTTTTTTTTTTTTTTTGGATCACTCACCAACTAACTGGCACGCTCTGAGTGTCTCTTTATTTCTCTTTTCTTTATTCTCCATTTCATCCTCTTTATCCTCCACACCTGTAAAACCTGCTGCTTGCTATAAGCGTGACCTCTTTGGGATTTCTCTGCTCTGTCAGATGTTTAGCTTGATTTTCTTTTCTGAAACATGGAATACGTATTGATTCTATATTTAAATACACTATGCTTAGAGAAATCTGCAAAGGGACCAGTTTAAGATCTTCCTCCCCATCTCGTCCCGTCTGTCCCTGGACTCCTTGCATTGCATGCCTATATTTTTACAGAAAATAAAATAGCTCGATTTATGTCTGTGATGTGTTTCTGATGCAGTTTTTTTAAGATAGCAAACACATTTGGTTTCTAAAATCCTGTGTCTGACTTCAAGCTACAATGCGTCATGCTTCCCTTTAATTTGGGAGAGTCAGACTCATCTGCTGGCTTTGCATTTTTAAAGGTTTTAAAGTTTTCTCCTTATGTTGTGATTGTGAAAGCTTCAAAAACCATAACATCCTTCTCGTCAGATACATCTCCATCCATGTTGGAACAATAAGGACATTTTTAACTCACGGCTGCCCTCTGAATAATTTACATCTCGTATCCTTAAGCCTCCAATTTGGACAAGGGAAATCTCCCTCAAATAAAAATGGAGTGAGTAGAAATGCAGAAAACCTCAAATATTCACGCAGAGCAAGTTCCAGTTATCTTTCAGTGCTGCACAGAAGAGTAATTTTATCAAGCCCAGCCCTGACTTCTTACAGGCAGCTGTAACATGTAGACACAGGGAATCCGTGACAAACCGGCCTTAAAGAAATGCTCACTCATCATCTGTTTCAAACTCTTACAAGGTCATAGTTCAACCTTTAGTGCCACCATAGTTTGAAAATTTCAGACCCATGTTTTTCCCCAGCTTGTGGTCCCATCATCCGCGATGTAATTGGACACAGGAAGCAGTAATTCAGCCTGTGGACCAAAGAGCGGTCCACTGACACACCCCTTCGTCCATCAAAGCACCAGACAGACATTAAAAGACGCATTGTAACTTGAACAGAAACAGCGATCCTTCTTTTCTTTTATTTTCTTTTGCACCACGATTGCTTTGATTCCTTTTGGTTTTGATTCTTCTTCTTTCCTCACACTTCGGCAAAATGTGTTCGTGTCACATTGGAGGCCCACCAGCGTCTGTGTTTGTGGGTTTGCAATGAGCTCATGGAAAAAGACCCGCGGTGTGCTGGGAAGAGGAAGCTTTTCTGCCAGGAACATTGTTTATTCTGTCTTTTGTGTGGTAATATCACAGATTCTGCTCTTATCCATTTTCCCCCATATTGGCGACAAAATACATATTCAGGAGTTGAAATCCAATCTAGCAAATTTCCACAGAGCATGTCGGGGTAAGAGCAGAGTGTGTGGCAAACCCCAGAACCCTCAGAGCACACTAGATTTTTAAGGTGTCGTTTCAGCGACGCTGAATGTGTGATTATGTGTCTTAGTATGGGCTTGTATGTTTGACGTCTGACTGTGTGTGTTTATTTGCTGCCTACCTGTTGGTTTCTGTGCTCACAGCTGGCCCAGTATCCCATGTTGAGAGAGGAGATGGAGAGAATCGTCACTCAGCACATCAGAGACAGAGAAAACCGCACCAAGGGTCAGGTAAGACTGAAAAAACAAACCAAGCATAACGCTTTACTGATGAGAATAATTACTGACGTATTCACCTTTTCAATTCATTTATCTCAAGTTTTATATGATATTTGATGAGACAAAAGATAACCATGGTCTTGTATACCCGTATGCGAGGGGCGAAGCAGTGATGCAGTCAGGCAGAGGTTAACGTAGAGAAAAAAAAGAAAAGGGGGGGGAGGTTATTCAACTTAGAAACAAACCTGGCTGGACTACTAAAAACAACAAGTTTATGGTCCCATAAAAGAGGGCAAGGTAACCAAACTCTACTCAAAGAACTGGCAACAAAACGACACCAATTCAAACAAACTGACCTTCCAGATCGAGACAGAGAGAAACTTAAATGCCGACTGATCAAAAGGGGGTAAACACATAAAAACCCAACTTGACACTAACGTGAGCCAATCTCATTTCCCTCCATGAGTTTTTGTTAAGAGTTTATTTGCAGGTCTCCATATTGGCTTGCTCCACCCCTTTTCTGCCTCTTAGTTTGTCAGCCAAGGGACCAGATCAGCTGCCACTAAGGAAACTCGCAAAGCAAAAACAAGAGTTTAATCAAGTCTTACACACATAACAGTGTAAAGGAAAACTTGCCCACTTATTTTCAAATAAAGCTTTATGTGATTATGGAAATAAATAATTTCTAAGCCAAAACCAATCCGTTGTTTCTCTGTGAATTAATTACTACACTTGGAAAAAGCAAAATATTTTGTGTGGCTGAAACTGCAGCCATCACACCGTATTTTTCTTTAAAAGTTGGAGATAGCTTAGTAAATTTGAATTAGACTTTACCTAAATTGTGCCTGTACAGACGGATTGCAAATCAAGAGAAAGTGAGTTTTGTTTTCACAACTAGAAATACTCCAGAGCTGCAACTGGGAAGAATGCAGAGAATGCAAAGTTTTAATTAAAACATTTCCTTTGTTAACAGTGAAATTTAATTGTGATTTAATTTTTTTTTTCACTTAAGATATCTAGTTTCCACTTGAATATTGTGCTAATTGCCTTTGTCCGCTGCGACTTAAGTTTTAAGTCAGCTTCTTCAGGCAGCACAAATTCACAACATGTTATCAGCAAATGACATAAAGTCATTTACTTTTCAGCTGAGAAAGCTTGTAGCAACAGTGGAAAGTAGAAACTTAACAGGAAAAAACCTCCATCACTGTGACATCACTGTACATTTATGCAGAGATGTACTTCATCCAGATGAAGATTTTTATCAAGGAAAACATCATTATCTTAAGAATTAGGTATACAATTGATATGTTTGCAAACCCAAACAGAAACTAAAAACATGTTGATTTGATTATTTGATTTTTTTCTACTGTCGGGTCCATACAGTTCTCAGTAACTGCTGCTTTTACAATTTAAACATTACCAAATGCAATGTGTTACGAGCAACAGAGCTGAGCTCCTTAATGTTCTTGGTGTCTTGAAGTAACCTATTTGACCTTAAATCTATCTTTATTCTTCTCTGACTGTGCGCAGTGATAGATAGTAGTAGCAATGCTTTCTGTTTTCATCACAAATGTGACGAAGATGTAATTCGTTGTTGCTTGTATGTTAACGTGAAACTTATTTAGTTTAACCCTAACTGCATTTTAAATAATACATCAAAATGTCATCACAAATCCATGTTTCTCATGTTCAACCTGGAAAATGTCTTCACTAAATACCAAAGCAAGCATCATTTGTGACAGTTTCCTGTCCGCCTCTCTATGCAGGTTATGTTGCTGATTGATATTGAATTGTCCTACATGAATACGAACCATGAAGACTTCATTGGATTCGCAAAGTGAGTTTTTTTTTTTTTTTTGCTAACATGTCTTTCTTGAAGTCATGGGATTGTTCACTGGGCTTATTCCTGCTTCTTTTTGTTTTGCAGCGCTCAGCAGAGGATCAATCAAATGAACAAGAAGAAGATGGCTGGAAATCAGGTGCCACGATCAGAAATGCCCACTTTCACATCCCCAAATCAACATTGGTTTCCAAGTAAAAGTTAGACGTTTGAGCTTCGTGATAACCGTAACCTAGGACTGAATTCAATGAAATGTGTTTGATCTGTTGGATGGCAACCAGAGGACTAAATGCAGCTTCCCTTCAGGCTTCCTTCTGTCGGCACTCAGCTCAGTGTCTCCTCTCATGTTAAATGTTGCACAGCTAAACAGTATTTTGTTACCACTGGCAACTTTCCGATTCCTCCGCAAAGCAGCAGTCATCTGTAGTACATGTTGCATGGTAATCGGCAACAGTTGTAGGAGCGTCAAACTTTCTTGGCTCTTTGCTGAAAGCCAAAGCTGTCAGCACACGAGAACCTTGGATGGGAAATATCAGATGCATAATTGTTTCGGGCTGCAACGGTGGAGCAGTTGTCAGCTTTGTTGCCCCACGGCAAGAAGGTTGCGGGTTCAAACCCCGGTCAGGGCACCTTGTATTTTTAAGTGGCGTCTTAAAAATATTTTTTAATGTCTGTCCTTTGACGTCAGTGATTTAATTTGCTTGTGGATTTTACTTTTGTTTCACTTAAGAGTTTTAAATCGTCAAATTAAATTTTTTTTACAGACCCCGTTAAACCTGGGTACACACTAAAGGTAGTTTTCAAGTGATTGTTTTTTTTTTTTTTTATTGAAGAATAAAACCTCTCCCAAAATATTCTGTCCCAATGCGAAAAGTTGCAACTTCACAGTTAAATCCTGAAGTAGCTGTGAGTAATCTTTGTTGGAAAACCGAGTTTAGTCACGCTAACCACACCCAGGACACTGCCAGATCACTGCCAGACTTTTACAATCAAGAAGCTGTTCAAACAAAACCTGCACGACCAGATGAAGTTCACATAAAAATCTCAAAAAGAAAAAAAATAAAAGCATGCTAAAGTAATTCAAAAACAAATTCCCAAGGCTCCAGAGAGACAAAGTGAGATATAACAATAACAGAACGATAAAATATGGCACAGCGGAAAATCTTCCCAGAAGTGGGGCACCGAAATGACTTCAAGACTGCATCGCTGATTCATCCAGAAGGGCACAAAAGAAACAAGAACAACATCTGAAACACTGCAGACATCTTACTTAAATTAAGGTCACTGTTTAAGATTCAACAATAAAGAGAGCTCCATGACGTAAACTAGTACTAACCAAAAAAGAACATCAAGCCCCTCTCCACTTGCCAAAAAACATTTTGATGAACCCAAATACCTACGTGAAAATATTCTGTGGTCTGCGAGAGGAAAATGGATGTTTTTGAAAGGTGAACGTCTATTTACAGCCTTCAAGAAAAAGAAACTCACAAAAAACAGTCAAACGTGGTGGTGGTGGTATTTTGATTGCCCTGGACGACTTGCAGTGCTATTCATGAACCTTGAATTCTGCTCTCTACGTGAAAACTCTGAAGCAAAATGTCCGACCAGAGGTTTATGAATCTGAAGCCCAAAGGCATTTGGGTTTGTGTTTGAAACACACCAACAGCTAGTGCTGTCTCAAACACCAAGACAGTATGAATGTTTTGGGGGTAGTCTAGTCAAAGTCTGAACTTAAAGTCATTTGAGATGCGTTGGCATGATATCAAACAGACACTTGATGTTCAGAAACGTGAGGAATCAGTGATGAATTACAACAATTCTGAAAATGAAAGTGGATTAAAATTCCCAATAATGATATCAATGACACGATTCTCATGATCAAAAACACTTGATAGGATTTTATTTATTTTTTCCCCCACAGTGTTTTATTAGGTTTTTGGGGTCAATAACCTTTTCCACATTGGACTACATTGGTTTGTTTATGTTTATCCCCTTTTCTAAATATATTTCATTCACCTTTGTCCAAATAATAAAATTGTTTGTTGACTTAAAACTTGGACAAAGAACAAAGAAAAAGGGTAAAATACTTTTTTCACAGCGCTTTATGATTCTTCTAATTGTTTTCTTTCTCTTTTTGCTCTTTGTTTCACCCCTCTCCCCCCTTTGTTTTCCTCTCTGGGGTTTTACTGCAGGATGAAATCATGGTGAGTTTTGAGTTTGCACTTTTGCAGTATGCATGTCTGTCTGCAAGTAGCCTTCATTATGTTTGAGCTTGAGGTAAATTATTTCTGTATTTGTCTGAGCTTTTTCTTTTTAAAAGCACAGATGGCCGCAAACCCTGGATGTTGTGTGGGTTATATTAGTTTTGTTTTTTTTTATTTTATTTTTTTTTTGTAATTTAAGTGCTTGTAGATGGCAGATGCTTAGCTGTTTCCCTCTCCACCCTCTCCCCCTTTTTTTTGTCTTTTGTTAAACACACCAGTACAGTTAGGATACTAAACATGATATTTTACAACAATCTACTTGCTAAAAACTAATATTGTTTTTGCATCTTTAATATCAATGTGCTATTACATCTAAAAAAAACCCCAAAAGTTCAATTTGGAGGGGTTCTCCACAGATTCTCACCAGCTGGAGCTTTAACTGGATAAAAAGAAAAGCGGATAATAAGAGAAAATAAAAACAGTAAACGTCCCGAAAGAGCATTTCTCTATCCTTTTTCCATTCACACAAAGTTTCAAAAGAACAGACAAGTTACAAGGCCTGCAGTGTGAGACACATATGGCGCCCCTGTTGTTTTCAGTTGTCATAACACGCACCATGATTGGGGTCAGAGGTCAGGGGCACACTGTAAACAAAGCGGTGAACTTCACTTCCTGTTTAGAGCTGGGTGTTCTTTGCTGTTTAAGACCCCACAGCTTCTGCTACGTTTGCACCTTCACGCCGCGGAAGGCAAAGCACAACTCAGGAGTGAGTTTGTAAGCATGTAAAATGCTCAAAAGTTTCATTTTAGCTTGATTAGTGTGTGTTGTGCACACTAAAGCTTTACGTTAATTGCAGTGGAGATCCCCCCCTGCAACTTCCAAAATTATCAGCTGTCTTGAAAAGACTGTCTAAAAAGTAAATGTAGCTTTTTGTGCAGTGGAATAATATTTCAAATATAAAATGTTGTAGTTCTTTAACAATAAGCTTTGTTTTAGTTGTTTTGTTTTTTTAACCTCCCTTATTCTCCAGGAAAACTGGAAGTCATTTATCCAGTTTTTGATCTGCAGTTACATTTATTTTTAGCAGAAGTCCAGGGTGTCAATAAACACAATAATGCATATTCTTTTCAGAATGTAGCTTGAACCACATATTTATGAGTATTCACATTCTGCAGGTGAAAATGTGAAACATTTAGTCATTGTGGTGAGAGAGAGTCAGTTCTGGCAGGAATGGCATGGAGGAACCACATTTTTTCCATCCCCTAATTAATAAAATGCTGGAAATCAGTTACATTACTGGGCAGCACAAAGTGCAATGGAATCCCACATAAAGTATGTAAGAATGTCTTCTACCCATTTACAGCCGCAACCTCAACCAACTCACTTTTCACTGCACAAGCATAAAAACTGAGAAGTATCCATAACACCAAATTAACAAAAAAAAAAAATGAAATGCAAATTCTGATATTTTGCTAAATAAATTTTATTGACATCTTAAAGAGTACTGTGTAGGTTTTGTCTTGCCACATATGGTATGTTGGAGGATTAAATTAAACCATCCCACTGTAATGCATTTAATTGTAGTTGTGGAGAATAGTTATAGAGGACACTTAGAAGTTGACCGGGATGTTTTTTTTTTCCTTTTTTCCTTTTCTTAATGTGATATCTTTACTTTATTTATTTTAAGTGAAAAGAAATGTCAAGGAAGAATTTGGCAATAAATCGTTTCTTTGTTTTTGATTTTCTGATTATATTAGTCAGAGACAAGTCTAAGCTTGGTCAACATAAAACAGAAAATACTGCAAAAAACACAAAGTCCTTGTGTATATTTTTGTCTAGTTTCTAGTCCAAATATCTGTAAACACTTGAAGCAACCACGTTTTTGTCAATGTTAAGGAATTATTAAAACAATCTCAATCTCTTGATGGAAAAGTTACTTGTAAGTTAGTTTTGTGGTATTTCAAGTGTATTAAGACATTTGCACAAGCAACTAAACCAAAAATACTTAGTAATATTTTGTTTTGGCAGTGACATGATTGTAATGAAGCAGTAGTTGATTAATGTAGTAAGCAATTTTGTTAATTTTCTTACTGAAAAGACGTTCCAAAAACTGAAATGTTTTCCTAAAATAAAACAAACTGCATTTTCATTCCTGTTAGGTATTATTTACCACCATATATTAATTACTGCAGTGAAGTTCCAGTTTGTAGTAATTAATTTGAAATAAGTCAGACTGGAGAAATTGCAAGTATGCAGATGTTTTTCATGAAATTCATAGAAGGTTTAAGATAAACCTAGAATGCTAAGATTTCTTTTATTTCAAAGAGCGCTAGGTCACTGTAACATTGCGATAAAGTACTTTAGAAAGAGTTTAAATACGTAACCTAATGCCTGAAACCTTCTCGCTTTAAAAGCTACCATATCAATCTGTATGGTAAATGCCGTATGCTGTGCAGCAGTGAAGCCTTTGCACCATAGCACATGACCAATGAAAAAACCATTTTCCAGCCATTTAGCATCCTTCCTCCTCCCCACCTTGCTTGCTGCCCCCCAGCTGCAGTAATGGCAGCTACAACCACTCTGTGTATTTGGCCTTCTCAAAATCCCCCCCCCCTCCCCTATGTTGGCAATAGCTTTGTAACATTCTCTCCACATTCTCACTCAGCCGGAGAGAGGAGTTAACGATCGGTACAAGGTAAATAATTCATGCAAATTAAGAAAAATAAAACATGTATTTTGTCTGTGATGAGGAGAGAACGAGGTCAGGTAGAAAAGGAAGTGTCAAAAAAAACAAAAAAAAAACAATGTAGGTGAAAGTTTGTGTGAAAGATGTTTTCTATCTCCCATAGAAGCACTTTCAGAAATTACATTTCTGAACTTATTTGTCAGTGGATATGTCTATGATTTTAAATCCGTTCTTCTGAATTTCTAATCATTTCTGTGTTCCTGTGTGAATTTGGTTATTTTTGTAGGTGATCAGGAAGGGCTGGCTGACCATCAACAACATCGGCATCATGAAGGGAGGAGCCAAAGAGTACTGGTTCGTCCTGACCGCGGAGTCTCTGTCCTGGTACAAAGATGATGAGGCGAGTTCTTTCAAACAATCCCTACAAAAACACACAAACACAGTGAGGATCTCGCTGCTACTAAGGCTCTGGGCTTGTACACTTGAGATGCCAGAGAAAAATATATGTTGGTACATAAGGCACAGTGCCCCTCCCTCACCTATTGCTGCACACTGTTCCGTCAGCTACAAACAAAGGTAGCTCTTTGGGCATATTTTAGGTTGTGAAAAACACAAACAGCCAAGATGTTTAAAACTAAAGAAGAACCACATTTTACTTATTAATCTTGCAAAAAAATAAAAAATAAATAAAATCACAGTTTGAAAGCTGGAAGGGGCATGTAAAGCGGCCCGCAGCATGCCTAGCTAATCGCTCTCAATAGATTCCCTTTGTCACAGTTTTCAGAGGAGCAAAAAGCTCAGTAAGCACGTTTCTTTGAAACTTACTGTTCAATGTAGCTGGTATTTATTTAGTGTGTTTGCTTTAGTATTTATATAAACTTTTAAATTACCCTATATAAGTTAGTTGGATAACATTACAAATATTAGTGATCTTTTTTTTCAATATTAGATGGGGGTTTTTCCACTTTTAGTAGTAAGATAAAATTTTGCTCTCTCATTTTTAGATTGTTATTATTATACTGGGAAAATCGGATACAGGGCCAGATTTATCTTTATGCTGTATAATTATTATTAAAAACTAAAGTCCTTTACTCCTGTTTAACATAATGAGGGTAAAAACTTAGGATACTATATGACAGCTTATGTAAAATATTTGGACATTTAGAAATTCAATATCACTTTGAGCAACGTTAAAAAATCCATTTAATGTTAGACAATAGAACTGGAAAAAAAATCATTTCCATAAAACTTAATTAAAAATGCGGTTTTCCATGAGGAATTAATGAAACATCACACAGTTATTCCCTCATAAAATAACCAAAAATGTAATGAAGTCTTGAAAAAAAAATCAGCCAATCTACTGTATGGAAAATAGTCTAGAATCAGTTTAAGTCTTAACTTAAACTGATGCAAATTGGCAAATGCACAATGCCAACCTTTTCAACTTTCCAATGAAAAATGCATTTCATCTCTTTCCCCTTGTAACCATCCATCAGGTTTGATGATTGTCTTTAAAAAAAGATTTTATCTGCTTTGCCAGCTGATGATAGGGGCGTCCAGTGATGCTCTGCAGAAGTTCATTACTCTCACCACAGCCTCGCCCTCTCCAGGCCTTAGCCACAGCCACTCCACTCACTGATATCCGAGGTGTGTGTGTGTGTGTGTGTGTGTGTGGGTGTGTGGGTGTGTCTGAGTGTATGTGAAGACCCCTGTTTTTAGAGTGCAGACCCCCCAACATGTCAGACACTGAAGCTGGCACACACATGTGCATACCAGAGCCCCCTGAGCCTTTTAAACACACACACACACACACACACACACACACACACACACACACACACACACACACACACACACACACCCCCACACACACACACACACACACACACACACACACACACACACACACACACACACACGCAGTCACTCTCAAGCTGGTTCTAATAAACATTTCAAAGAGGGGGCACTGGACTGCAGCAGAGGAGAGGGCTGCAGCCAGGAGTGGCTCTTGTTAGCTGGATGAGCTGCAGGAGAAACAAGGACTGCATGGAAGGAGGGAAAGTGTTTCTGAAAAGGAGTCAGCGCCAACTGTAGTGGAGGAAAAGAGCCGGTGGTTTAAAACCTTTGGTTTTGTACTCGACGTTTCCTGATTTCGTTTTACAACCAGAAACTTTCGTGTGTTCGATATTGACTTTATTTTAGTGACAGAAACACAGCAGTTACAAGATGGTAGGAAAAAAATAAATTGATGTGACATCAATTTGTATTCAGCCTCCCTGAGCCAATACTACGCAGCTTTGCACAGAATCATATTTTATTACAGTGACAGCTGCGTGTCTTTTAGGGATTGTCTGTACAAGAATTGCACAACCAGAGAACATTTTTGCTCATTCATCTTTGGATTATAGCTCAACCTCAGTAAGATTAGATCAAGACGATCTCTGAATATCAATTTTAAAGTCTTGCTACAGATTCTCAACCAGATTTAGATCTATACTTTGACTGGACCATTCTAACACATATATCAGCTTTCATCTGACTTCAACAACAGTTTTCCTCTTCCCACTCTTCCACTGAGGCAAGAGAGGAGAGGCTAAACTGAGCACAAATGCATGCCACACTTTGCAGATATTTATTTGTAAAAATAAAAGTACATTTAAGTGTGTTTTGTAATGTGGAAAAATTGGAAAAAAAAATGCTTGGGTGTGAATGCTTTTTTCATTACCTCTTTGTTTCGTCTACCTTCTCCGTCCTTTCCTCACTTCTTCTTTTTACTGTATATTTATTCAAACATGGCCTCCGAGGGTGCAGGGAGACTAAAGACCAACACTCAGCATTTGGTGTTGCAGCTCAGCGGTGAACCTGGAGGGCACTGCAAAGCATGCGCATGTTTTCCATCCAAGCTTAACATTTTACATGCTGGCCTCTCGGTCACACTTACACTAAAGGCTGGACTTGTCCTGAGGGCTCATAGTCCAAACCTGGGCGGAGACATTGCCAAAATAAACACGGCCCATGATTTTTTTTTTTTTTTTGCTTGTTTGTTTCACGAAAAAAAAAAATGTATCACTGAAAGCAGGTTTTTAGCAGGAACATATGTTGTTCGCCGCCGTTTCATTGGCTGCATCTCGACTTGGGGAAAACCCTCGCTAAGGGAGAAAGAAAACCATATGCACACACATACACACACATGCCGACACACACATCACTCTTTGACACTAATAATAACTTTGAACCCAAACTCACTGATGCCAGGATGTTTTGGTTAGTGCTCGTACACGCATGTGTGTGTGTGCGCTTTTAGGAACCTTCTGGTCTGTATTACCGCAGCGAGTGCCAGTTCCTCGAATCATGACGACCTCTTTGGCTGAAAAGTTTTCCAAAGCAGAGACGGAGTGAACTGAGGCCGATAAAAAGAAAAAATAAAACTGGTTAATGAGGAAACAATAAGTGCTTAAAAGCATTTTCCTATGAGATGGTTCACACGATTTGTGGCTGTAGGGTATATTTTCTTTGGACTAGCCTGGGCTTCCCTTCTCCTGCCGTAAAGCTGCCAGAAAGCCAAAACTCGGACTGGTGGATCCCAGCTGTAAATATCCTTGGGGGTGGGGGATTGTTCTTTTATGTGTGTTTGCATGCACTCTCTTTGTGCTGCAACTCATGCATGCTATTAAAAAAAAAAACTTGGGCTCACGGTGGCGGGGCTCTAAATGGAAACAGGTTGGTTTGTGGTTCGCATTCTTGCACATGATGCACTGTGATGGGACACCGTGTGAATGTTTCTGCCCTCTTTTGCTTTTGTGCTTTTGAAGATCATACCGTGTGGGTTTGCTTTATCAAACACAGGCGAGGCTGGAAGGCAAAATTTTTTGGGGGGTGAGAGAAGAAAGGCGGGGGGGATCCCAGAAAGGAGGCGGAAAAAAAAAACCCCACTGGGATAAAAAGCCGGGGCTAAGCTTTTTATTTCCCTTATGACGTTATTTGCAGGCATTAAAGTCGTAAACTCTAATTTTTTGTATTTTTTATTACTTTTTTTAGACTGAACTTTAGAAAGACTTGTAAAAACGTTGACTAGAGAATAACAGAGTGGAGCTTTTTTTTTTTTTTTTTCCCCTGTTTCTCCCGGGTGGCTTACCGTGTTGCTTCTCCTCACATGGTCATTTGAGGTAAAGGAGCCACAAACTGACACAGGGGAAAACAGACGCATAATTGCACATTTCCATTATGGGCGCAGCTTAACGTTGGGGGTTTTACTCTGTGCTTTAGTTATCGTTTCGGGTTAGCATTTTTTTTCTTTTTTTTTTTTTTTTTTTTTGGGGCTGTAGAAAAATAAACAATATGGTGACATCGTCAGGCAACCCTTACTTAGATCTGCGAGAGGGGGGCATTTCTATCAAATCTGGGGAAAGTATTTGAGGAGAAAAAAAACAAAACAAAACAGAGACAATATCATTGAGAAGAATCTTTATTGTAACTATTTTAACTAAAACCAGTCCATAGAAGGAGCGTTCATGACATTTTTCTACTTATTAATTAATCCTTGGTGAGCTTTAGGCCTTTCTGATGGCGCCAAGGCTTGGTCAGATGAATTAAATTGGGTGCTCCGTGGTTCTGTAACTTGGATCCTCCTCAAAGCCAATTGCTCTCTTTTCCAACACCGGGGTTATCCATGTGCGTTTCCCAGGCCAGCCTAACCAATGTGCAGACTACTGTACAACCACTACTTCCTGAACAGGTAGTCTGAACACTGGGCAGGCGGGCTAGGCAGCTCGGCGATGCTCTGGAGAAGCGTCAGACGGATACTTACTGCAAATCCTGATGGACTCTTGTCCCCATTTCTCCGCCTGCAAAGGGGTGAATGAGCGGGACTCATAGGGAGGCAAGAGGAAGAGGAGGAAGAAGGGGTTAAATAGAGGTGATGGCCACTGACGGGCAAATTTAGTGACATTCTCTCCCGTCTCCCGCTGTGAGGAGAAGCATTCCACGTCGAGCTCTCAGGAGGAAAGACAAGCTGCAGAGAGACCGTATGAACGTATCAGTTGTCCGTAACAAAGCAGAATCAATACAGCCGATGTACATATAGCGAAAAAAAAAAGAAAAAGAAAATATTGATTATATTTGGATATAATTGCTCAAAATTAGTGTTTTTAAACCAAAAAAAAGTTCTTTCTTTGGAGACATTTGGAAAAATAAGTATTTTTCTTATATATCCTGGTTGGTGAATAATTCACTGTAGGCCCAAATTTGTGAGCCCTTATCCATTCAGATCCAGGCCAGGATAAAAAAAAAAACAACAACAACAAAAAACACAAAACGTGATTAAAAAAAAACACACTTAAACTTTTTCAGACTCTCACTATCGCCTGGATAAGAATTTTTGTGGTCAGCCGAGATCCCGCT